CAGTTGATACTAGTTCATCCTAAAAAGATGTATGTAGCTTTCACATTTGCATCTTTAAATTCTTATACACACTTCACTGTATGACCCAGCCAATCAGAGACCATGTAAAAAAATTTACTGCTACAATTCCATAAAATATTTCTCATATTTGCATATTTATGGACAGAAAATAAAATAACCGATAGAACCAAAAACTGTAATTGGCTACTAGCAGAGAGAGTATCTGGCAAAAGCAAAATATTAACATCTGAAACTAAGTCCCACAACTGTACATTTAAATCCATAATCTAAAATTTCAACATGAAATTTACATTGTTTTTCAGATATAAGTTAGTGAAACTGAGTTAATAAATATTTACTGAATGCCTACTATGGGACGGACATTGTTCTAAGTGTGTTAAGGTATAATAGTACACATAATACCCTCAAGGAGTTTCCATTCTAGTTAGTGAAACAGGCGATATATAGGAATTTTAGGTGCACCAGAAAAAACAAAGCACTATGATATAGAAATGAAAATGTTTGTAATGATTACTTCATTTGTGGCATAAACAGAATACAAACTGAAAAATAATTGTCTGAGCTTTATTTTCTAGAATATAGTTTACAAGTTTTCAAGGATTCAGTATTCAAAGATTCCCTCAATTATTTCTTCAGTTCAAACCAAAATAACTAACAAAACTTCTAATCTTCTTACTTCCTTTGAAATATTCCCTAAGTAGTGCATTATAAATACTGAATAGGTACATTTTTAAAGGATTTCACATACTATATTTGTCACAGTTGCTGAAACACTAGACCTTGAGCTATTAGACAGCAGAAATCTTTTTCTACCTTTTTCTTTTTTGTGAATTCAGCACCTGCACAGGGTTTAGAATAAAGTGCAATCCTGAATTACAAATGTATTACATAATAATTTTAATCTAATAGTGTCAAAGAAAGTGCTAACTTTATCATACTTGAAAAATAAATATTTTGTTCAAAGTTGTATTTCAGAATGTTTTGATCAATTAGAAATGGATAAATAGTAGTGTACTTAAATCCTAAGTGCTGCTTTTCAGACAGTCAGAGCAGTATTAGAGTCATGGCTCCAAAGTTTAAGAAGATCCACCCAAGCTGGATTATTTAAACTTGCAATAAATAGATGTATTTTCTTGGAAAAATATCTATTGTTACAGTAAAACTTGAGTTTCCTTTTTAACAAGATTGTATGATTACTCGTTTATATTGTTCTTTCCGCAGGAATCACACACCCCCTGTTTGCATCCTGTTATTCACTTAGAGCTTCCCTTCACTTCGCTATACTGTTTTCCCTAGTAGGAGAGTGGTTTTACTGCACATTAGAATCCTAAACTGTCCGCATGCTCCAAGTCTCCTGGTTTGTAGCATTTAGCATTTGTTCAGATCTTAAACATTACCTTGAAAATTGAACTGTCTGCGTCCTTTCAAAATATTGAATTGCCATCCTACATCACTGGAGGCCTGGAAAAGACTGGAATCTTTTCTACTGATTGTATCTCTCAGTTTCCATCTAATTCCGTGAACAACTTAAGAAACTACTTAGGGTATACATTCCACTAAAACCTAAGCAAACACATTTATATTCTTCTTAAAATTTTGTACATTTGGATTTGTTTTTCTGAAGGCAAAGAAAAATTTTTAAGTAATTCAGGCGTAATCAAAACCAAGTTAAATCAATGCCTCAGACTCATCTAGGATCCATAATAAAAATACAGATTCCTTGGTTCTACACTGAAGCCACTCAGAATCAGCAATAAGAGGGGCATGCCCTAGAATGTGCCTTTTAATAACCTTTCCAGGTTATTCTGATACACACTGAAGTTTAAAAGCTGTAATGCAAAGGACCTAAAATTAAAGGTAATGTAACTGATGAAGGAATGATGAAGGATAATAAGATCCTATTGTTAAATACACTGAACCAGAATGAAAAATTAACTCATTAATGAAGAGCTAAGAAAATAACTGTTAATATGTAAGATCTCCAAAAGGAGCCCAGCTATGCTATAATAACATTCTTTGTAAGGTAGGTTTGAAATCTACCTTACTTGTGGTATTCAACAGGACACATGTGTCTCATGAAAAAAATATATCTATCTATCTATATAAATTTATACATTAAACATACATATATTAATTAGCATATGTGTGTGTGCATAGATATAAACACACACACGGCCTAGAAAACGGTAATTATGTTAGCGCTTAAATGGTACCTGGCTACTCGCTAAGTAGGTTCAATGCTAACCCACTATTTCTTTTCTTTTAATTTTTTTTTGAGAGAGAAAGGGAGAATCAGTGTGTAGAAGGGGCAGAGAAAGGGAGAGGAAGAGGGAGAGAGGGAGAGAGGGAGAGAGGGAGAGAGAGAGGGAGGGAGAGAGAGAGGGAGAGAGGGAGAGAGGGAGAGAGAGAGAGAGAGAGAGAAAAGAAAGAGAGAGAATCCCAAGCAGGCTCTGCACCTTCAGCACAGACCCCGATTCAGAGCTCAAACTGACGAACCGTGAGATCATGACCTGAGCTGAGATTGGTCCAATGCTTAACTGACTGAGCAACCCAAGAGCCCCTTACCCACTACTTCTAAACAGGGCACAATCTATACATTTTTTCTTTTTTTTTCTTTTTTTTAAGTGTATTTATTTATTTTGAGAGAGAGAGACAGAGAGAGAGGGGGAGGGGGCACTTGTGCTCACACATGCACAAATGAGTGGGGGAGAGGGAGAGAGGGAGAGGGGGAGAGGGAGAGAGACAGAGACAGAGACAGAGAGAAAGAGAGAGAGAATCCCAAGCAGGCTCTATGCTTAAAGGGCAGAGCCCTACATGGGGCTTAATCCCAGGAACGGTGAGATCATAACCTTAGCGGTAATCTAGAGGCAGATGCTTAACTGAGCCACCCAGGTGCCCCTTTTCTCTTTTTAACATTTATAGTTTGATTTCCTATCATATAGGAGCAAGAAACAAAAAGGCAAAAATGACTAACATCAATGCATCTTTACCAAAGTCAAGGAATAACATCTCTCTGGTTTCTAGTCAGTCAACTTTCTAAGGGCAGAAACCAGATCCTGTTTGTCATAGAACCCCTTGCCACAAGGTCAAGCAGTAAGCACTGCATGTGAACTAATGCTGAGGATTAGGACAGCTATTCCACAAAGCTGGGAGTGGTTACAGTCTATGATAGGGGCTCCCAAACTTCCACATACATCCAGCCCCACCACTCTACCAGAGTTTTATTCTGCAGGTCTAGGGTGGGCCCAAGATCTGGCATTTGTAACAAGTTCCCAGGTGACACTACTGCTGCTTATCTGGGGACTACGCTTTGAGAACCACAGATCAGGGGAAAGTCCTCAGGACTGTGCTATATAAATGGTTCCCAGAAAAGAGAAGTAATTGGAAGATAGTTAGGAAAAACAACACAGGGCATCCAGAAACCAGGGTTCTAGTTCCACCTCTATCAAAGAATTACTGTTTAGTTGATAAACACACACACACACACACACACACACACACACACACACACACACACACCCCGAATCCCACATAACCCATCCTAGAGATGAAGGATCTGGTGTAAAGGAAAATTCAAAGACTTTATAGATAAGAAACAATTTTAAGTGTCTACTATGAACCTTTAAACATATAATCTGACCTGAAATGATTATCCTTATAATCAGTGTGCATTGCTCAAATCACAACTGTTAAACTACATAGTTTTTATCCAAAATAAAGATCATACACAGCAAGCAAATAAAAAAATGCCCAGACTAAACACAGCAAACCATTTAAATATAAACCTGCAGGGAAATAACTGTTTTCCAATATTCTAAACACATATTATAAATTCAAGTATCTGTAGATGGGTCTATGGCAGCAGCAGAAGCAGTATCTGAGATCCTGTGAGAAATGCAAAATCTTGGCCCGCTTGGGTGGCTCAGTCGGTTAAGGGTCTGACTTCGGCTCAGGTCATGATCTTACAGCTTGTGAGTTTGAGCCCCACATCGGGCTCTATGCTCACAGCTCAGAGCCTGGAGTCTGCTTCAGATGCTGTGTCCCTTATCTCTCTCTGCCCTCCCCCACTGGTGTTCTGTCTCACTTCTGTCTCTCAAAACGAAATAAATGTTAAAAAAAAAATGCAAAATCTCTGACTACCACCTAAACCTACTAAATAAGAACTCCCATCTTAGCAAGATCCCTATGTGATTTGTAGATACTCAAAGTTTGAGAAGCACTGACTAGGGCACTCAGATTTTATCACTAATTCTTTACTACTATTTGTTAAATAGCATGATATATTTAAAAGAATCAACATTTCCTGAAAAAAAATCTATTTCTGACATATAAACAGATAAAAAGAGAAACTGAGGAATTATTTTACATAAGAATATACAATGAAACTTTATTTTCCAACAAAAATTTCCAATAAAATACTTAATTGCTATGAAATCATATATGATTAGAAAGTAACTTCATGGCTGAGTAAACTGAGGTATAGGGATGCTAAATGGTTTGGTTAAAATCAAATAGTTTATCATGGCACAATGAGATTGAAATCCAATTCTGACTCCTGTAATGTAATACTTCTTCTGGTGGAATAAAATTATTTACATTTTCCTGGAGTAAACACACGGTTAATATACAGTAGTAGAAGTGTACATAATTTTTTTAAAGAATAAATATCTACCCAAACATATTGAAGGAAATAAGCAAAAATATCTCATAGTATATGTGTTTTATTCCCTTCATTGAGAGAATGGGGGGGGGGGCCGGCCCACAGACTTTAAAAAATTGCACTGGAAGGAGTAGTGGAACTGGAAACCATATGGACATAACTTTCAAACCTATGATTTTCACAGAATGACACTACAAATCAGGCAAGTGGAAGCATCTTTCTGATGAATGAACCTGGAACACGTATTTTTAGAAATACTACAAGTTTGGCTCTGCTACTTAAATTTTAATATATAGCAATAAACAAAACTTCTTCTTACCATCAAAGAAGCTCTTGGCTCTTAGGTAACTGACACTGAGCCTGAGAACTGAAAGTTTGTCCAGCTTATTAATAACATCTTGTGGAAAAGGCAGCAGGCTAGCCAAACGGTCCAACTCTGTATTAAGCCGGTCTCTATGTCGCTTGGAAGGATTGGACTTGATTCCTTCAGGTGGGATTGGCTTGACACTGAAAAACAAACAAAATACCACAAAATAAGATAGATAAAAATAAAAATTTCTATTGCATTATAGCTCTTCAGGTATTTCTCTAATGAAACACACACCAAAAAGTCTACTCAAGTTTACGTAAATCCCTTCAAAAGGCTCCTTTGTATCGTAATTAAGAAAAACAAAAAAAATTGGTAAAACTCCTCATAATGTTTTATTAAAAGCTTATGAACTCAAGAAAATGCTGAGTGCATCTTATATACTTCATACTTCCTTCACTTCATACATTTGTGGTACAGTGATTCCCAGTAACAAATCCAGTGGGATTATTTTTTCAAACCCAGACACTGTTCCAGAAAGAAATGAAAAAGAAATCTGCAATTAATTAGGTGAAGATTATGCTTCCTTTGCTATCTTCCTCAAGAAGCATCTTGGCATCATTTATGATGTAGATAAATAGGAGCTACCCTAATCACCCCAGCTTCCTATATTTAACACTTTCATCCTGTCAGTGACAACTATTCAAAGTCCTTCTGGCACCTCTATATGGTCATCTAGGCATTTAATGGGGTCCTCCAATATTTAAAAAAAAAATTGGCTTTGATTATTTATATTTGCTGAGTGACAGATATTAGAGGTTAACTGTAATTCCTTGCAAATTTTGCATTTAGGGCTGGTCAATAATTCTACTTAATTATTAGCTTTCATAGCTTATGTCTTAGAAAATTCAATGAATCCCCAACATGTAGCATGATTTTCATCTGAGAGAAAAGATATTTATAGTTAAGAGTAGAACCTGAGTTCAGATATGAGAAACTGCTTAACTTCACAGAAAGGTCTTAGCCAGGATTTCACAGCAGAAATTCATTATTTAAAATGAACTGACAGATCATCACACACACAATGAAATATAGACAAGATATTAAAAAAAAAAAAACAAAAACAAAGATCATGCCTCTTCACCTTTCCATTTGCCAGAAAAATAAAATCTTATGCAGGGCATTCTTACAACAAAGACATTTCCCTCCAGCCTTTATTGAGAAGACAAAGGCATTTTCGACAATTCAAATGATGGCATCTTCAAAAGTAGAAACTGGCCTGAATATAGTGCTGATTTAATCAAAATATTTCTAGATACTTTATGTTTTCAATGTTGTATGTGGAGAAGTAATACTTTATTTAAAAATTAATAAAAAGTCAATAAAGGGGCACCTGGGTGGCTCAGTCAGTTAAGCATCTGACTTCGGCTCAGGTCATGATCTCACGGTTCACGTGTTCAAGCCCCGTGTTGGGCTCTGTGCTGACAGGTGGGAGCCTGGAGCCTGCTTCGGATTCTGTGTCTCCCTCTCCCCCTGCCCCTCTCTCTCTCTCTCTCTCTCTCTCTCAGAGATTCTCATTCTCTTTCTCTCTCAGAAATTAATAAATATTAAAAAATCTTTTTATAAAGTCAATAAAAACTTTAATGTTTGTTATATATTGTTCCCAACAAGTAATTTCTTCAGAACTTATCTATTTCTGTTTTTATTACAGTTCATGTTATTTATTTATTTTTTTAATGTTTTACTTTTTAACATTTATTTATTTTTGGGACAGAGAGAGACAGAGCATGAACGGGGGAGGGGCAGAGAGAGAGGGAGACACAGAATCGGAAACAGGCTCCAGGCTCTGAGCCATCAGCCCAGAGCCCGACGCGGGGCTCGAACTCCCGGACCGCGAGATCGTGACCTGGCTGAAGTCGGACGCTTAACCGACTGCGCCACCCAGGCGCCCCAAATGTTTTACTTTTTAAAGCAGAGAGAGACAGAGCATAAGTGGGGATAGGGCAGAGACAGAGGGAGACACAGAATCCGAAGCAGGCTCCAGGCTCTGAGCTGTTAGCACAGAGCCCAACACGGGGCTTGAACTCACGAACTGAGATCATGACCTGAGCCGAAGTCGGACGCTTAACCAACTGAGCCACCCAGGCGCCCCCAGTTCATGTTATTTCTACAAAAGTAAGAATTAATAAATTGATAAAGTATATGGCATACATACAAAATAAATCAGGTACTTTCTCCAGACTGTGTAATTGCATACTTAACAGAAACAGATGATTCTTTCTCTATTTTTCCTTAATCATACTGCATTTGTAATCAAATTCAAGTCATCTCTAAATTTCTTCAATTAATCAAATGATTTTCAAAAGTTACCTATAATGCATGTCTACCTCCCTGAATAATTCTCTGATTAATCTCTTATCGACACAAATATTTACTTGCAGTTATCATGTCCTGGATAGTCTAGGAAAACATTCCTCTCCTACATATTCAAAAAGTGTTATGGGAGCAAAGTATGTGAGCAACTAACTACTTGAATTAAGATCTTTAGAGACAAGGTAGTATCTGATATGGACCTTTAAAGATGGACGGGATTTCAGGAGGAGGCAGGGCTGAGAAACGGTGGCCTGTGAAAAGTCCCCTGTCCGGAGTGTGAAGCATAGAGTACAAGAGAGAGGAGAAAGGGGAAAGTGGTTGTGGCCACATTCATGCGACAAACAGTAACCACCTACCATGGGCAAGGCACAGAAGACTCAGCAGTGAACTATATTACATGTACTAATGTTCCTGTTCTCATGAAACTTACATTCCAGTGGCAGGAAACATAAATAACTAGTTGAGTGAATAAATAAACATATAACTTTCAGAGCTGCTAAGTGTTAAAAAGAAAAATAAAGCAAGATAAGGAACTAAAGAGTGACAAGCATGCTGGTTTTGATAGCCAGGAAGGGTCTCTGATGTTACATTTCAGCACAGACATAAATACAACGAAGGAGTGAGCTGTGCGGGTATCTGATGAAAAAAAATGTTCAAGATAGAGCAAACAGACAATTTCCTCACAGAAATGGTGTAAAATTAGACTCTGGTATCTGGGAGTCATCTTAAGCTCTGAGCTGGGATTTGCATGACCAGTCTTGTGTTTTACTAAGCCGACTCTGGTGATGACGAGCATGAAATGTAGGGCAACTCTCAGTGAAGCTAGCACTTGTTTCTAAAATACAAATCTACAACACCCCTCGGATTTAAAAATTTCAGTCGCTCTGGACAGTCTATGTTCCTTAGCCTAGAAGCAAAACACCTCTTGATCTTTTATAGCCCCCTAACTATTCCTCTGGCCTCATTTCCTGCAGCCAAAGCCTTTCTTGTCCATTATACTCCAGACAGAAGAAAGTACTTAGTTATCAATATATACTTTGGTGCTTTCATACATGTTACTCTCCGGAATCCTCTTGTTCTGTCTCATCCGCTACAAAGCCGTGCTCAATTAGATGACTTCTGTAAAGTCCTCCCTGACCTACTCACAATGGATCCCTCTTGTACTACTTCTGTACCTTATGCATCTTAAGCAAATGTCTTATACAATCATTCCATTAAGGAATATCCTGTGCAGATAGTATTTCCAATAAACTAGAAATGCATTTCGTCTCGCACACTTGGTAGCTTTCCAGTAATGATTATAAAACATTGGGGACAAGACAGTAACACAATGAACCAAGACAAACTAAGAGGACACAGAGAAATAACAATCACGATACAAAAAAAGAAAAAAAAAACATTCAAGATATTGCTCCATGAAGTCCTGCTGTCCATCTTGTGCTGTCTCTCCGCAGTGCTCAACCATGAGCTAGATGAACCTACTTCTTTGCACAACATAAAACTTTCCACAGCTCTAATGTGTTATCTATCATACACATTATGGAATATTTAGCATGAGATCAAATTTCTTAAGTGTTATGTAACTGGTAATACTTAGACTTGTTTATTGCTCTTATGCCTGTAAACTTGATCGTTTTTGTATCCCCAGTGCTCAACATAGTACTATCCACAGAGTGGACCTTCAATTAATGTTTGCTGATCAAAAGTATCTGGAAAAAGAGTTATCAGGACCTGACCAAAGGCAGTGATAGGAAAGAAAGTAAGTAAGGCCTGGTATGAGATACTTCAACACAGCACTTTATGCCCATCATAAAGCTTGCTATATAGCAAGACTCCAATGTTTGATGATGGGGCACAGGAAGTACGGAAGAGAAAAACATGGAGTGAGGAAGAAGCAGGTTGGGGTAAGGACTATACTTCCTAATGGAAGGTACACCAAACAAAGAGAACAAGACGAGAGGACAGAGCTTGATGATACAGACATTTAGGCATAACATTGGGGAAGAGGCACAGGCAAAGACAACAGAGGAGGAATTACAAGAAGACAGGAAAAGAACCAGGTTGGAATATTCTGGATATTACAAAACAAAATCAAATACACAGAAAAATTAAATGACAAGTACCCACCGGATGTGGCATTTCAAATGCACTACTGTTAAAACTAAAGCAACCGACATGGCATACTCTGTCACTGATTTTGTGAGAAATGTTTACAACTATTTTGTGAAAGTATTTCATTCTTATCTACACATCTTAAAGATGCGCATAATAATTAGATAGAAAAAGTAAACTTACATCAGTTACACCTGACTTGGGTTATGCTAGTACTTTTACTTTTGTATCGCCTTTAAATCTATGCCAAAATATATACTGCCAACTACCTATTTAAATGAGAGGCTATATTTGAAATATAAACAAACATCCCTGTAACCTTAGACTTGGGAGATCTGAAGTTAAGATATCTCATGACATAGAGAGACCACTGATGTTGATAAAGCGAAGAAGCAATTTATTATTTTCTTAAAGCCTTACCTCAAAACCTTGTCCCAACCTGCAAATCAAAACTGTTGTGAAATCAAGACTCTAGCTGACTGTGTGCCATGCTTCTGTTTTCAAAGCCCTGCATGCTGTAAGTACTGCTATTGACAAGCCCAACGCCACATCCAATGCTAGTATGAGTGCCATCTTTAAAGCCTTTTCAATATCCCAGTGTAGAGTGTCTATTAGACTCCTCACTTGCGCCCAGTGTTGAAAACAAGCTAAATGTCTAACCCAGTTTAATCTGGGTTACTATAAGTTACTACAGCTGTAAATGTTTATGTTTTCA